ATGCTTCTGTGTGTGTGTGTGTGTGTGTGAGAGAGAGAGAGAGAGAGAGAGAGAGAGAGAGCCTTAGAAAGGGCCAGTGAGAGAGACTGGGCAAGGGGGGCTTGGAAGTCTGTGCTGTTCAATTCGGTGGTCGCCAAGCCAGGGTCAACCTGGGCAAAGGAAACTGGGCCCCAGCCCTGGAGGACAACGAAAAAGGTCCTGGCGAGGGAACCCAGAGCTCCAGGGCAGAAGATGTGGCTTGAGTGGGAAAACCGAGGCTGTCGAGGTCTTGAGACGGTGTCCCGCTCTGGCGAGGTGCCTGGATACTGGGACCTGGAGACCCATACCCTGGGTCGGAATCACAGAAACCTCTTGCCCTGTTCAGTGTTCCCAGACCGAAGGCAAAGCACAGGACCTCCCAGAGCCTCTGGGCTCCTGCTCTGGGAAACGCGGTTACTCCGGTTCCTCCCAGACCGCCCAGGGCGCCTAGGGTGGGGTTTTCCCAACACCGCCCTTGAAAACAGCCCCCAAACACAAACACAGGCACCATGCTTGGTCTCTTAACTCTTGCAGACCGAAGGGGACAGAAGAGGTGTGGCCCAGGTGTGCATTTCGCTCTCCTGCCCCTGAAAGTTGCAGACCCTGCGGCTCACAGGGGAACGGAGCAAGCAGGAATAGTGCACGAGCAAGACAAGTACTTCAGACGCCTCTCGGCGTTCACAGTCAACAGCACCCGACCGTGCCCTTGGGAGAAGTGCCAGCCCCCCTGGGACAGTGTGAGCTCAGAGCACACCAGGCCCGGCACCTCTCACTCAGCTCCTTCCTGCGGCGCCCCCAGGAATGCGGCACCCCTGGTGGGGGCTGGGCTCTGTGTTGGCCGTTGCTATGGTTTTGCTCCGAGTTCTGGAGCCCACCGGTCCGAGACTCAGATCTCAGGAGCAGTGGGTGGGAAGCTAGAGGGGACGGGGAAGACAGGCTGAGCCTTCCGGTACTGCTGCTGTGATGGAGGCCCCAGCCGAGCCTGCAGGCCTAGGCCACAGGCCTCAAGAGAAGGTGGAGCAGAGGGAGGGAGGCAGGCCAGGATCGTCCTGAGGGGCTGGTTTGGGAAAGCAGAGAATTTGAAATTCAAGGAAGTAGAGAAGGGAAAATGGTGGCACAGGCCCAGAGGCGAGATAAGGTTGTTCATACAGATGGGCTCAGGTACAGCTGTGTTCTGTACATGCACCAGCTGTCCATGATGAATGGAATCTTTATGTGCTAGAAATGTGGACTGATTAAGAATTAAACTCCAGTCATGGTGGCAACACACCTGTAATCTCAGCACTCAGGAGGCTGAGGCAGGAGGATCTCCATGAGTTCCAGGCCATCCTAGGCTACACAGTGAATTCAGGGCCAGCCTGAACTACATCGTGATATCTTGTCTCAAAAACCAAATAAACAAATTATTAAATAAGTAAGTAAATAACAGGCAGAGGATATAGCTCAGTGCCAAGGTCCTGGGTTCAATCCCCAGTACCAAGAAAAAAGAAGCAGGTAGATACTCTAGGTTGTTCTAAGCAGAGGTTCTTGGAGATGGGGCTCTTGGCTCACATCAGTGTGGGGCTGAGAGAGGGGTGAGAGGAGAGCGGAGGGGCCATGCTTCCCCCGCACTGCCTCAGCAGGTGCCCTGCCTCCCCCAGGTGTCCAGTGTGCCCCATCCAGGCAGGAGCTCCGGGGCCATCCCCGCCAGAGGCTCGCTCATCCACCGCGCCAAGGGCCTGGGTGAGGACACCTTCAAGATTGTGAGTAAGGGCAGCCGGTGGCCCCTTCCCTGAGGAACGGCCAGCCTAGGCCCACAGCCCATCGCCCCCTGGACACGCCTTAGCAGGGCAAGTGGAGAAGCCCATCCTGCCTACCTGTTCTTTTCCCCGAGGCCCTCACCTTGCCTGTTGCCTCCTCAGTGTAAAGAGTACCTCAGGCCGCTGAAGAAGTTCCTGCGCAAGCTGCACCTACCCAGGGACCTTCCACAGAGGCAGAGGTTAAAGCATATGAAACAGAGCCTCGTGGTCCTGGGGAACCACATCAATGCCTTTCTGCAGCACTACTGCTGCACCTGGGAGATGAAGCGCTGGAAGAAGTACGGCAGCCTCCTTGTCCTTCCCCACACCTGACTCTGGCCACCCCATCTCCAATCAAGGTCACGTCTCAGGCGAGATCACCCCACTGGGCACCGTGCCACACGCCTGTCATCCCAGTACCCTGGGAGGCTGAGGCAGGAGGATGGCAAGTTTGAGCCTAGCCTGGGCAACTTAGTGAGACCCTGGATCCTGGGCGGGACAGAGGGCAGAGAGAGCAGAGCCACTCTGCTTACCCCGGGGTAGCACAGTAGCTGCCTTAGGTGTCCACACAAGATACCTCTGAATGAGCAGCGTGCATCCCCACCTCCTGTCCCCTCCACCCCAGACCAAGGCAGTGAGTGGCACCCATTTCTACCTGGGTGGGGCCCGCCACAGACAATGCTGGGGGAGAAACGATGGCGTCCCTCTCCCCAGCTGTGGTCTCTCCCTGCAGGATGCTCTGGCGATTCGTCTCTCTCTTCTCAGAGCTGGAAGCCAAGCAGCTGCACCAGCTCTACAAGTACAGCAAGACCAACCAGACGGCCAAGTTGCTGGTGAGGGGGCTTCTGTGTTGGGACATAGGGCCCAGGCGGGATGGGCCTCCTTGTGCTCTCCCAAGCAACGCTGAGGGAGATGCCACTGCCTCAGCCTTCTCTTGGCAAGGGCAGAGCAAGTTCAACCACAGGGTCCTGCTGTTTGCTCGCTGTCCATACCTCAGCCCGAGCTTAGCAGGGATGGGGAAAGCTGGGCCGCCCTGCCTGGGAGTCTCTGGGTTCTGTTAACAGAACCTGGCCCAGTTGTGTCCTGAAATGGCTGTCACGTGCTTTGCTCTCAGGACACGTGTATCCTCTTTAACATCAAGGAGAAGCCCAAAGACATCTGTTTGTGTGGGTTACAGCTACTCATGTTTACCCTAGTCAGAATGAGAGCTAAAGAAAAAGAATTTTAATTTATTTTCCAATCTGTTTAAAAAACAAGGAGCCCATTACATCTTAACATATTTTATGAAAAAATAACTATATTTTCTGAAACAAAAAAAGAAAATAGAGTAAGTAGCGTTTTACATTTTTGCAAATCTCTTTAGTGTTTGGCTTACTAGAAGGCAGCTGGATTCTCGTAGCGGTGCCTGCAGTCAATCTCTTCTGGAATATTCCCTTGGTTGAAATACATAAAGAAAGCTGGGCATGGTGGTGCACACCTGTAATCCTAGCACTTGGGAGATCTGAGGCAGGAGGATCTCTGTGAGTTCAAGGCCAGCCTGAACTATATAGTAAGACCCTGTCTCAAACAAACAAACATAAATAAAGAAAACCCAGTCTCACACGGATACATACTCAGAAATGAGAGCATTCTATTACTGTTTCTAGATAATTGCAAATATTTTTCTTTGATAATACACCAAAGTTTAACAAGTAGCATATTTTTCTGTTATTTTTTTGTTTTGTACTGGGGTTTGAATGCAGGGCCTTCATACTGAGCTATCCCTGCACCCCCCTAAAATTTTTGTTTTTTATTTTGAAACAAAGTCTTGTTAAATTACTGTGTTGCTGAGTCTGGGCTCCAATTTAAAAATCTTCCTGCTTCAGTCTCCCCGAGAGCTGGGATTAAGTAGACTTTCTAAAAGCAGTTTTAGGTTGCCAGCTCTCAAGAGGCTGAGGCAGGAGGATCATGAGTTTGAGGTCAGCCTGGGCTACATAATGAGACCGTATCTCAAACACAAACAAAAACAAAGCAAAATAAAAAGTGTTAAGTTGATAGGACAACTGAACGGGATGTACAGAGCCCCCTCCCCCAGTCACTAGCAGGTCCATTTGTTACCACCCATAGCCAGCGTCCATACGTTATCATTAACTGAAGCCCGTCTTAAGGTTAAGGCTCAGTCTTGTGTGGTCCATTTCTCTTTGGACAAATGTTGGACGGCTGGACCCGTCATCACGACGTCCTGCCCTGGCATTACTCTGCCCTAAAAGGTCCTCCGCACTCCCCTAGTCCTCCTCTCTCCCCACAAGCTGTGGCGGACACTGGCCTGGTCAGTGTTGCCACAGTTCTGCCTTCCCAGGATGTGACAGGTGGAATCGGACAGAAGGTGCCCCTTTCAGAGCTGCATCAGCGAGCTCTTCCGCACCAGCCTTCATTGGGATTTGTTGGTCTGTCTTTTGCACCTTAGACGGACCCTATTATCCCTGGGCTCCCGAAGGTTTGCAAAACACCCTTGAGAACCACTGGTCCAAAACAGTAACCCTAGGGACGAGTTGGGAAAGCCTTCTCTGCACTGGGCACTTTAGGTCCCTTTGCATAATCCTCAAACGCAACCCCATGGGGCCATGAGAAGCACAGTCCTTGGTGAGGACCCCACATGCAGGGAGGTCAATTAACTTAGCTCAGGCCACACAGCCAGTGAGAAGGAAATGCTTGGATTCACACTCCATCTGCCTCAGATTAAAGCCCTGCTCTGACCAAGCTCCCCGTTCCCTCTCTGCATCTCCGTTTCTTCCTCTGAACAGGAATGGTTGGGTCGTTTCAGTGATTCCTTTTGTTGTTTGTTCGTTTTGCAACATTGGGATTGAGCCCAGGGCATCACACATGTATGTCCCTGAGGCCCATCTTTTGCTTTTTCTTTTTTTAGACTGGGTCTCACTCTGCAGTTCAGCTGACCTTGAACTCACTATGTAACCCAAGATGTCCTCAAACTCAGGGCGATCCTCCTGCCTCAGCCTCCCTCCGAGTGCTGGGATCACAGATGTGCACTACCACACCTGGCCGGTCCATCTTTTCTAAGGGCCATGTTCTCACTGTGTTGCCCAGGCTGGCCCCAAACTCCTAGGCTCAAGCAGTAATCCTTCCTCAGCCTTAGCTGGGACCATAGTGTGCACCTTTGTGCCTGGCTCTAGTGATTCCATTTCTAAATATGAATAGCCGCTATTTTCATGATTCTTGAATTTCTGGATTTCCCTGTACATAAAAATTTCAAACTATCTCCAAGCTTTCTATTTATTTACTTACCTACTTATTTATTGGTGTCAGGGGCTGAACCAGTGTCTCTGCTCTGAGCTATATCCTCTGTCCTTTTTATTTATTTATTTAACATTTTGAGACAGAGTCTTGCTAAATCGCTAAATTGTCCAGGTTGGGTTTGAGTTTGCGAATTTGTGATGCTTCTGCCTCAGTTTCCCTCAGGGCTGGGATTACAAGTGCGTACCACCATGACTAGTTTTAATTTAAATTGCACCAAATCAGGACCTTAAACAAGTATCACTGTTTCATTACAAACAAAGCACATGCTATCCCCCACCTCCAACAACAACAACAAAAAAGGATGGAAGGCATGACCTTAAAATAAAAGAGAACCCCAAGCCATGTGTGGTGACACATGGCTGTTATCCCAGCTCTGGGAGGCTGAAGCAGGAGGGTCCTGAGTTCTAGGCCAGCTTGGGGTAAGTAGTAAGATCTTGTCTCAAAAAAACAAAAAACAAAACAAAAAAAATTTTTTTTAAAAAATTTTTTGGTACCAGGGATTGAACTCGGGTCCTTGCACTTGCAAGGCAGGCCGCAGAACCACTGAGCTAAATCCCCAGCAAAACAAAATAAAACAAACAAACAAACAAAAAACAAAGGTGGGGGGTCACAGCTCAGTGGTGGAGCACTTGCCAGGACTGCAGGAAGCTTTGTGTACAATTCTCAACATGCAAATAAATAAACAGAAAGGAAAGAGAAGATAAAGGACAATCTTGCAATCCTGGGACAGACAGCTGGCAGCCTGGCCTCCCTGTCCCCAGGGCCCTCTCTCCCATCTTTGATTCTCGCCCCACACTTTCTGCACCAGCCATCAGCCCTGTCGCTGCTTCCTCCCACCAAGTCGCCCCCCCACCTCTCCCCTGCTGTGGCCTTGCAGGTGGTCCTGGGCCCTGGAGACCCGGCAGAGTCCCGGGGCAGAGCCTTGCTGGCCAGGCAGGAGGACAGACTGCCCAAGCTGTGCGATACCTGGGGGCTGCACCGCAACCTCCGGGGCATGCGGGAGAGGCTGTCCAAGATGCAGGCCTCGGGTTCTGACCCAGCCCGGCGAGGTGAGCCCCCGCCCCCTGCCAGTGTGGGGGGCTGCGGAGTCGGGTTCCCGGGGCTCCCTCCACCCTGAGCCTGGCAGGGACCTTTCCCTCCCGTCCTCCTCCTCTCCGGCCAGCATTTCGCCTTCTGTCCTTTCCTCCCCTTCTCCACTCTCTGGGTGCATTCATTATGGAAAGTTGAAAGTGTCCTTGGAAGGAGAGTAAGGAGGAAAGAAGGGTCACCATCACCCAGAGGCCTCTGCAGCTGACATTTAGAGTTTCCCCGTGTTCAGTGGAATTTCTGCCCAGCAGGAGTCTCAGAACACGAAGCTTGGGACCCTGCCTTTTCCCGTTAGGTCAAAGCTGGGTTCTTCCCTGTAGGACTAGACGCAGGCGGAGGCCAATTCTGAGTGGAAGTGGATTGCAAGCGGAGGTCCGAGCAGCCGCGAGGGTGCCCCCTACCGGGCGGGGTGGGAGCAGGGCCAAGGAAGCGCCTGGTCACCTTCCAGCTGCTCCAGACTGCAGAGGCTGTGGGGTGCGGCTTGCAGGCCCCCATAAGTCTGTCCACCTCTCTCTCTGGAGCCGGCTTCTGGGCGCAGTTGGCGGTCTGCTAAATGCTGGGGAAGGAAAAGGTAAGCAGGTGGTCCTAGATTGCAGTCCTGAGGTGGACCCTGAGGTGGACCCTGAGGCGCCTCTGAAGGCCTGGCTGGCTGGGGTGAATCCAGGGCAGCTGGGCTCAGGTGGCCTCGGGCCAGCCGTTCCCCAGGCCCATTCGGACCCAAGGGCAAGCAGGAGAGAAACCAGCTCAGTGGCAGTAGGCATGGGCTGGGCGTGCCTGGCCCTGTGCCTACAGTGTAAATGGAGGAAGTCAGAGCTGCAGCGGGACTTCGCACCAGGAAGGCCGTGCAGGGTTAAGAAGAGTGGGGCACGCTGCACGGGAGACTGAGGCAGGGAGGCTGAGGGCAGCCTGGACGCTTTGGTGAGGTGCTGTCTCAAGTTTAAAAGGGCTGGTGATGTAGCTCAGCGCATCTCCCGTCCCCCCGCCCCAGACCATAAGAAAGAAAAGTCATGCCCGCCAAAGCAGCCATGAATCCGATGAGTTCTGGGCCAAACTCCTTCTCAGCCAGGTGCTTTCTGTCCCAATCCCCCCACTATGGGATTTGAACCCAGGGCCTTCTTCCTGCACTGCCTCCCCTGCCCTTATTTCTTAAGACCAGCTCTTGCTAAATTGCCCAGGCTGGGCTCAAATGTTCTATCCCTCTGCCTCAGCCCCTCTGATTGCTGGGATTGCAGGTGTGCAGCACCACAGGTGGCTTCTGCAGGGTGCTCTGCATCTTCGTCCCTGCAGCATCTGAATGAAGCGGTCATTATTGCCCCCCCCATGAGCCCCCTAAGGACCAGGGCTAAGGGTGTGTTAATTGGGACAGACTGTCTGCAGCTGGTGGGCTGGGGCGGGTTTGCAGGAAGGGCTGAGGAGGCAGATGGAGGAGGGTTGAGGAGGGAAGCTAGGTGCAGAGGTGAGGGGTGATGAGCAGACAGGGCCTATGGTGACGGAGGCGTGGATGGAGAGACGCAGGGCAAGGGCACAATGGGAAGGGGCCTTGGACCGTGGGGTGGGAGATTTGGTTTTCATGCAGTGAACGTTTTCACCATTGTATACATAGAACCCTAAATACAGATGGGCAAAAACAAGGAAATGCAAGCACCACATTGTCATAGCCATGGTCAGCCCTTCCCATGCTCTTTTAATGCCTCATATGTATTTTTTTTTTTTTTTTTTTTTTGGTACCAGGGATTGACCTCGGGTCCTTGCGCTTGCAAGGCAGGCCACCGAACCGCTGAGCTAAATCCCCAGTCCAGCCTCATATGTCTTTTAACCAAAATAAGACTATGTTGCATATGCGATTTTGATCTGACTTGCTTTTGTAGTCGGTGGTACCAACCTTTCCAGCTCAACTTTCTCACTGCACAACTAGTTGGAGTAAAGAATCTGCACTCACGTTTCAGAGATCGCTATTCCCAAACCATGAGTTTCACCTGGCTACATCTTGTAACTCTTTTTGCCTAACAAAGGCACCCTCTCGCCTCACAGATGTACGTTCTACCAGACGTCCCACCTCCTGATTTTTTCTGGTTGCTTCCTTTTGGCATCTTCTCGCTTGTTTCTCTACCCTTTAGTTTGAAAGTCTTAGGGATTTAAATGTGGGGTGGGGGTTAGAGATGAGGTTGTCTTCTTCCTACTGTCATGTGAGAAAGCTCGTAATTCCTGGGAAACCCACAATGAGTGGGTTAAGATTATTCACCAAACCACCCTGCAATTAAAAGTAACTTGCATGGTGTTTCTTTGCCACTATGTTCATATGACCTTTTTTTGTTTCAGTTTGGTTTGGGGTTTTATATGAGACACGGTCTCACTGTGCAGCCCAGGCTGACCTCAAACTCATGATCCTCCTACTTCACCTTCCCGAGTGCTGAGATTTCAAGCACGTGCCATCACACCTGGCCATAAGTCAGTTCTAGATTAAAATTTGCAATGGTGTTTTTGAACAGCCCTGCAGCTAAGTCCTGGGAATCAGGCCACAAGGCTCGAGAAAGGAAGAGAGGAATCCAAGCACAAAGCCAGAAGTCAGGAAAACTCAGGTCTGGTCCTGACTGTGCCCCTAACTTGCCATGAGGCACTGGGCACTTCATTTCTTACTCTATGCCTGCTAGAGACATCTGTAAATCATGGATGATGCCACCTCCCTTCCTCCCAGGATTTTAGCAAGAAGAGAGAAAGGGACATAGTTGGAAATAAGACTTTATTTTCCTGGTTTCTGGGCGGGGGGGCAGGATCTCACTTATGTAGTTCAGGCTGATCTTGAACTCACTGTGCAGCCCAGGCTGGTCCTAAACTTGCAGCAATCCTCCTGCCTCAGCCTCCCCAGTGCTAGGATTACAGATGTGGTCACCACCCCCAGCTTCATATCCTCCATATGCTTTTGAAATTCTCTTACTGTTTGTGAGGTCATTGGGACCTTCTCTGCCCTCTCTTTCAGGTTCCTTAAGGAAGCTTCCACAAAAATCAAAATTCAAGAGGATTAAGGAGGCCCCAGAAAGCCCAGAGACCTGATCACAAGAGCACCCACAGGGATAGAGGCCAGCTTGCCTGGGCACCCGGAGTACTTGGGCAGCTTCAACCGATCAACCTCTGGGGGATGGGCGCTCATGAAGGGAATGAGGAAAATCAGGAAGGCGCTCAGGGTCTTTATTACAAACAACAGAGTTGGAAATAAACATCCTTAAAAACGGTTCTACTTTACTTGGTTAACAGTCACCATTCACTCCTCCCCACCCCCATACTGGGGGTTAAACTTAGGGACCTTGTACCCCAGAGCTACATCTAGCATCCCTTTTTTTGGGGGGCGGTTACTGAATGTTGAAGACATGGTCTCACTGGGTAGTTCAGGTTGCCCTTGAACTCACTATGTAGCCCAGGCTGGCCTCCAGCTTGTGATCCTCCTGCCTCAGCCTCCTAAGTAGCTGGGATTACAGGTGTGTCCACTGCATCTGGCTATTTGCTCATTTTTGTTTGTTTCAAAACGTTGCTCCAGCCCTCTTCTAGGTGGTTGGTGCCTCACCTATGCACAGACAAGTAGAATGTGGTCACCTGTGCCAGGGACCACCAGGGTTTAGCAGGGGGACAGACGTCTGCGTAGACATTACAGCAGGTGTGTGCCAGGCACAGGGCTCTGGGGGAGGGAACAGGAGCTGCGGGGTGTCTGCCTCCGGCACAGGCACCATAGTGGGTGGGCTGGAGCTGGGGAGAGTGGCGGGCGTCACAGATGGCCAGAATCATCTGGACGTCCCTTCACAGGTCACCTTGGAAGAACCTGGCATGACAAGTGCACAGGGGACTTGTGCTGCGACCGCGAAGTGCCTGGAAGTGCATGAGGCCAAAGCCGGGAACAAAAGGAGATGCGGCGATGGTGTCAGCTAGACTGATCGCTCAAGCCTGGGGTCAAACTGGGATCCTGCATGCCAAAAGCGTGTCGCCCATGTGTTCTCTTCCTGACTGTAGTCTACTTGGTGTTAGAAAGCTCAAGCTCAGGGTTTCATACATACCAGTTACACTGAGTTATATCTCTAGCCCGTTTAAGACATACACACGCACATATATATTTTAAAGGTAGCCAATATTAAAATTGCATTATTTCACATTAAAAGCATATCACCAGCTGGGTGTGGCGGCACGCAGCTATAATCCTAGCATTCTGGATTACACTCTGAGGCGGGATCACAAGGTCGAGCCTGGTCCAGGGAGCTTAGGCCCTGTGTCAAATAGGGGTGGGGACGGGCTTGGGGGGGGAGTATCTTAGTGTGGAAGTCCCAGGTCAGTCCCCAGTCCAGGGTGGGGCTTGTGTGTATCAAGCTGGGCATAGACATTCCTGCCCCGGTCCTGGCTGCGTGGGAGGGTGAGGCTGTAAATTCAAGACCAGTGTGGGCAATATCCCAAGACCCCCCACTTATGAAACCAAAAGCAACATCAGATCCCCGGCTTCCCACCCACATTTGGGCCTGGATTCCCAGGTCGCCCGGGCTGTGGAGCAGTTGTGAGGCCTCCTTCGTGAGCTCCAGGCTCGCCACAGTCCCTTCCTTCCCCATCACTTGCACACAGCTGTCTACCATGGAGCTATGCCCTTAATACACAGTTTTTTTTTTTCTTTTTGTGGTACTGGGGATTGAACTGGGAGGGCACTAACGCAGAGCCTCCCCCCCCCGCCTCCTTTTTAATTTCTTAATTTAAGACAGGGTCTTGATAAATTGCTCAGGCTGCCCTTGAACCTCTGATCCTTGCCTCCCAGCTGAGTAGCTGAGCAGCTGCGATCATGGGCAAGTGCTGCAGAGCCCAGTTTAACTGACAATTTTGGTGACAGATTGAGGCAGGTGAGAAGGGGTCAGAGGGAAAGAAGATGGTACCATGTCTCTAGCCAAAGCCCAGGTAGACAGGGCTGAGGATGTAGCTCAGTGGTCCCGCCGCCTGCCTTGCAAGTGCACGTTTGATCCCCAGTACCAAAAAAAAAAAAAAAACACACAAAAAGATAAAGCCCAAGTAGATAGATGGCAGTGAGTGCAGGGAAAGGAAGCTGGCTCATTTCCCAGAAATAAGCCAGGTGTGGGGGTGGTGCTTGCCTGTAATCTAGCACTCAGGAGGCTGAAGCAGGAGGATCATAACAAGTTTGGGCCAAATAATGAGTTCAAAGTCAGCCAAGAGAGCCTGGAGAGGGGTATTTCAAGCCCTAAAAGAAAACAACCTCCAACCTAGACTGATGTATCCTGCAAAACTCTCTTTTAAAATGGGTGGGGAAATAAGATACTTCCATGACAAAGAACACCTGAGAAACTTCATGAATACCAAACCAGCCCTGCAAACAATTCTAAACAGTATCCTAGAAAAAGACAGTGAGGGTCACAACACCAGGAGGCCCAACAGAACAAATCAATTAGACAAGGCAAGAAACTAAAGGGAGAGGGGGAAAAATCAAAGTCAGCCAAGAATGACATGGTGAGATCCAGTCAATAAATAAATAAGAGCTGCATTGCCACCTTTTCCAAAACACAGGAGACACACTCCTAAGTACTGAGGACGATCGCTTCTTGGCCTTTCAGCTAAGATCAAGTCTTAGTACTGAGGACTGTCAGGCCTGCCCTAAACCAACAGGAAAGAGCACACAGGCTTCTTTCAGCAAACATCAGCTTCCTAGTAAATAGGGTAAATGGACTCAAAATGTGATTTTACAGCCCCCTGATGCAGAGAAGTCCAGTAACTGTATACCCACCCGAGAAGATCATTCTTGGGCATCCACATCATAAAAAGTCCTTATGATTATAGCCCCTTTCCCAAAATCCATATTAGTATAGTCTTCCCTCCCTGCTGGCTGCTGTCCCTCTCTCCCAATGTTAGCCCACGGATGTAACCTTTCCCTGCTAGCTGCTAGACTCTCCTGATTTTAGTCCCTGATTCTAGTCCCTGTTCACTGAGATAAACTTTCCTTTTTCTCACAACAAAGAGCCTATTTTGTTTGTTCTTTGTTTTGGGTTTGTTTTTTTTTTTTTTGACAAGTGGGTTCTTTAGAACAAGGACATTGTCCCGGAGCCTGTAGCACAGGGCCATGGTGTGCGTGTAAAGTGACTATGATTACAGAGGAGCACATAAACACGAGTATCCGGCTGGTCTGGGCAGCTCAAACAGGGAAGGGAGGGGAAAGCTCCATCTCCCTCCCTCACATCCGCTGTTCCTGGAAGTGGCGAGATGAGTGATGAGGCCTAGGCCGCCCTCGCTAGCCTGGTTGGGTCCCGGGCAGTTATGCCAAGCAGGGAGGCCTCGCGGGAAAGGGGCAGGCAGGACAGGGGTGAGGACCAGGAGCTGTCTGCTTTACTCCGAAAGGTCCAGCAGCCTGAGAAGAAACCAAAATAGAGCGGCGTCCCCTGTGCGCGAGGCAGCACTGCCACCTACAGGAAGCGTGGGGCGCTACAGCGTTCTTGCAGCCGGGGCGGGGCGCCTGCAAACTGGTGGAGGCCAGAAGGGGCCAGGGGCTTCCCGCCAGCCTTGGCAGCGGACAGCAGGTGACGCTGGTTTGAGACCCTTCTTACCTCTTCCCTCAAATTCGGTAGGATCTTAGCATTACCAGAAGGCAGATCACTCGTCTTTCCTCAGCTCAAAGCCCTCCCACAAGGGCCTGGGATTTAGCTCAGTGGTGCCGCCGCTGCCTCGCAAGCGCAAGGGCCTGAGTCGATCCCTGGTACCAAAACAAAGGACCCTAAAAATCTTCCCACAGCTACTCACTCGACCAAGGCAAAAACTGAAGTCATCAAGGGCTTCTGAGGTCCTCTAAGGTCCTTGTCTCCATCCCTTTGCTACTCTCTGTCCTTATCCTTGCTTTTCACATGTTTATCAAGCACACTTCCTGTGTTAAGCAGCTTTTTGTCCTTGGGACAAACACCTGCAGTAGGCAATCTTGGGGCACACGGGTAATCCCAGTACTACTCCGAGGCTGAGACCGGAAGATTGGCATCCTTTTCATTTTTTAATTCTTTTAAAATTCTGAGGCAGGATCTTGCTAAGTACACTAACTTGCCAGGTTGTGCTCAAACTTGGGTCCTCCTGCCTCAGCCCGAGAGTGCTGGGATTACAGGTCTGTGCCCCATGGCTGCTAAGGGCAGAGGTCTTTGTCTCTTTTCACAGTGTATAAATATAATCCTCAAGTTTAAATGTACCGGGGCCCAGGATTCAGCTCAGTGGTTCGCTGCCTGCCTTGCAAGCGCAATGCTCCAAGTTTGATCCCTGGTACCAATTTGTATTTTCTTAGTTAACAGCTTACAGTTTATCCTGAGTGTCACTAGAGAGGTACATGTTTTTACTTTAAGCTTTTTTTTTTTTTTTTTTTTTTTTTTTTTTTTTTTTTTTTTT